AGGTCGACACGTAATTGGACAGCTAGTACACAGGCAATGACCGTTCTCAGTTGGATAAGAGGTCGCGAAATTGTGTGACTTCAACGAATTCTGATAGTCTTGTGGTCTTTGCGTTCAAATTTCTTCCGGGAAAATAATGTTTCAACTATAAGGATCACGAGGCTCTCTGGTCTGCGTAAATGAGCCTTCCGAAAATTTGGTCTCGTTATGAGAGGCCTGCCGGCGCTCCTTCTACATACCGTGGTCAACTATAACGCGTTGGACCTCTTTAACATGATTATTTATTGCGTGTTATGGTTGACCTAACGTCAGTAGTTAGATAAAAGGTATTTGGTCGGCTAAAGCGAGGCAAGTGATCGGACTTAAATTATGTATATTTATTTTTCCTTTTATACCAACCGCAGCGGTGTGTAGGCTGCCTCCGACATTATGCATTTTTACTACGCTATGCACCTTAGGGCATCCCCGAATCGATGCTGATGGTGACTAGTTTTCAAACAGTTTATACTGGCTTTGGATCGCGCCTGTTTAAACTCTTATCGTGTATGATAAGTTTCGGATTGGATACTGGTGTTTTCTCTCCGAGAGCACCACTGCCCTTAGACGTTTTTGCTACGTTTACAGTCAGGACTATATCTGCATCCATTTTATTGGATTTTTTCCCAGAAAGCCACTCAAAACTGCCTCTACACATGTTGTCCAGGTTCATCGGAAAATAATTTTCTTTAGATGCAAAGGGTTGAGCGACGAACTAGCTGGAAGCTAATGAAATTTTGACAGGTAACTGCTTCCAGCAACTCTAATGCAAATGCGAAAGGACGCCCATTTTAACAAGCGAAAGAATGCACTTGTGATAGCCTTCTATGCGTCTGTGCGTTGTACTCCGATTGTGAATTTAAAATCGAGGTCGAATGGACCACATACGCGTGCTGGGGGTGCATTCAAGTCTTAGTTAACTTTCCTTGGGGTGAAACCGTAGGAACCTATCGCTCTGGGTACAATCCTTGCCTTTTCTCCGGATAGTATGCAATTTATCCCAATCGGCTGCGTCT